CGACACTGAAGAAGAAAATTTTGGCGTGTTGGATACACGGCAGCAGCACATAAGCGGGCTGGTAGACGTAAAGAAAGCGCCGGTAACCCATTTGGGTTTGCATTTTCTTCAGTTTGTGTGGTCAAGATGCTGCTTGGCTGCACAGGCTTTGAGTTCAAGAAGTTGCAGCCATGGCCTCATATTCCACAGCCGGTGGATATAATTCAAGCATGGAATTTTCCCGCAATTTGTAGTTCCATTGCGCCACCAGTCATGACTCCTTGATCTAAATATTTGGTCTATGTACCATCTGAAAAGTGAAAAGAGTAACATTTTTTAGGATAGCTTAAGACATATATACTGAAGCAGCTTTACATGATCAAATAAACAAGGAAATACTACCAAAAAATCACAGGGGATACCATCAAAGAGCTTGGAACTTCCAGAAAAGGTAGGTATGAAAAGCCCAGGTACAGTCAACATGGATCTCTATCAGAAAAGGTAGATACCGACTCACCTCTAAATTCAACAGCTCCTTTTATCACTTGCCATTATTCCAAAATAAACAATTGAAACAGTATAGAGAACAGTGCCTTTCCTGCTATGTTGTATTGTACATCTCTATGCAGTGCTATGAGCTACCAAATTCCTGTCAAAAATTACTGGGAAATTACAAAGGGCATACCTGGGAATATTGACATGTCGGCAATCAACCTGTGTTTTGATTTTCGGTTTGTGTTTTTTTTCGTCCTTGGCCGAAATGGGCGAATTTCGGGAATTTTAAATTTTTCGGCAAAATCTCGGACGAAATTTCAAAATCAAAATTTAAAAATTTGGCCAAAATTTGACCAAAATTTGGCCGAAATTTGGCCGAAATTCAAACAAGATTTGAAATAAAACAGGCCATAAATATAGCAGCGCAACAACCATCAGGTTTGATCATGTAAATTTCAGCAAATAAGCTCTAGGGATTAATAAAACTGCATCTGTCCAACATAACAGGCACACATTAGTTATAAAGTGGCCTCCAACATAACCCTTAACAGTCCAACATCAGTTCAACCATCACAACATAGTTCAGAGTTTAAATAGTCCGGTACAGCCAACAGACTTAAAGTATTACACATAGAAACAACAGCTTCAAAAGACAACTATCAAAGCATGACATTGAAACAGCAGCTCCAAGCATGCCTACATCCAAAAGCTTCTTGATATCCTTGGTTATTCTTCAAGTGTCATTTCTGGTTTAGAGAAAACAGAGGAAGGGTCAGGATGGAGGTAGTTCTGCATCAGAATTATTTTCTGCCACTTTGTGCATTAAAAATAAAATGGACTAACAGGACAAGTGGCTAGTAGAACAATAGTTAAATTTATGCATGCTCATGAATCAAATAACAAATCTACTACAGCAATATAGTTTTTTATTCACCAAAAAGCTTCAGGAGCAAAGGTTAAATGCCTCCATATACTAGAATGATGAATTCTAGTTTACGGTTTTTACTCCAGCACAACAAAACTCTAAGGATACAAAGAAAGCAACATAGACACAAACAGCCCACTGTTGGCTTGGACTAGCCATTTGTCAATTGTCATACAAAAGGAAAATCCATGATGAAAAATGTGAATCAAAATTCATGCATAAGCTCAAACATATTGCATGACAAATACAGTGGTTAATATACCTATAAAACAGCAGCTCCAAGCTTGCATACATCCAAAAGCTTCTTGATATCCTTAGTTCTTCATGTGGCATTTCTAGTTCATATAGAGAAAACAAAGAAAGGATCAGGATAGATGTAGTTCAACATCAGAATTTTCTTCTTCCACTTTGTGCATAATGAAATAAAATGGACTAACAGGGAGGTGTCTAGTGCAACAATAGTCAAGTGGTAACATTTCAGGACAACATAAATACATTGCTTAACATGACAACGAAGGCTAGGCATGGATAGAAAGTTTATACATCTAAGAAACTAGCAGCTCCAAGTAACTAAAATTTTCTAAGCAATTATCATGAATCATAAAACACTAGAAAGAAGATATTTGCCAGCAGATTTCTAAGCAGCGGGTATAGGCTGTTGACGCCCTTGGTCTTCTTCTTGACAAGCCGTACAGATCTACGGGTCTCCAAATTGCCATCTGTTGGTGGTGCGTCCTTTTCCACTTGAATTTGTGTCTCTTTTTCCACTTGCATTTGCGCCTCTTGCTGATCATGCATGGATGGAGCATCTTCCCCATCCTCACTCACCCCATCATTATCCTCACTCTCACTATCAACAAATACTTTTTCTTCAAAATCAATGACAAAAGAACAGCGGTCAGTTATGAAGAGTAGGTCACTAGGGAAGCAACCCTTGCTTACTTGGGTGTCCTCATATGAATGATAAACAAAACCAGTACAGCTTAATGCTCTAGTTTAGATACTAAGGAATAAGTAATTTAAATACAACCCGATGCTCTAGTTTGCCAAAAAGACAAGTCAAAAACTATAATCTATTCTTGAGAAAGATACTGCGAAGCTTAGTTCTAGAACCATCACTTAATGGTACCGTTGAACATTGAAATTAACCATCGGTCAACATCTACTTAGTTAAATACACAACATAACTGAATTTTTACTGGACGTACTGTAGATCTAAATAAATTATCAATGCAAACATGAGATGCTTCTGCAAACATCCAAGCCAGTGGTTGGAGGTGATGAAAAAAACTTTAATATTGCACACAAGCATCATCTCAACAGCTCAAAAACAAGCACACAACCCAGATCTACGGAACGATTATATATTTTAGGATGTTCAGAATAACGTTTGTAACCCACTTTTTGGTTGGACCAAAATAAATATTACCAGATCGTGAGCATCCTTAGTGAATACCAGATGCATGTGTGTTTCAGATTCAGATTATATACCAAACCAAAACATTGTGGGACTCATTGGTGACTACCGGATGCATGTATATTTCAGATTAATAATCTCACTGCTGTACGTTCAACTCATCAAGACTCACTTTTTCTTAACCCCGTATGATATATGCATTTGCCGAGCCATTTACCAGGGACCTCTCCTAAATCTAAAGCAGCACAAGCAGACACAGATTATAACCAAGAAACAAAGCAACATCGATCTGAAATTGCTCAAGAACTGAAACTGCATACACGTACTTGGACGAGACAAATTGCTGAAGACTGAAACTGCATACACGTACTGAAACTGCATCAAGAACATTTGTACCTTTCCAGTCAAGCGGACGCCCTCCATGCTGCTGCCGCTGCCCCGTGCTACCGCCTCCGTTGAACTGGTCGGCTCGCGCTCCATCAGCTCCGTTGCCGCAGCCGCCGAGCACCACGCTGCAGTCTTGGAGAAGGGCCGCAACCGCCGAGCTCTGTTGCCACAGTCTTGGACAGGAAGTGGATGGGGTGGAGGCGAGGAGATGTGAAGGAGGGTCGGAGAAGTGAGCGCTTTGGCCGGAGATGTGGAGGAGGGCGAGGAGATGTGGCCTGTGCGCAGCGGCGGCGCCGCACACAGGAGGAGGGACAGGAAACGAGCGATTCTAGGGTTGGCTGTTTCGGTTTCGTGGTTTTGTCTCAGCTGGAAGGCTCTGGAAGCTGGGCCGGTCAAGAAAAAATTCAAACTGGGCCAAATTATTCGGCCGATAGGCCCATATATCGGGCCCTAGCGAGATGGCCGAAATTCGTTTTTTTCGGCCGAAAATCAAAACGCAGCAATCAACACGTACGTGGGCCGGCAGACGTATAGAAAGGGCCAGTAACCCACTTGAGCTTGGTTTTTCTCTTCAGCTTGTGTGGTCATAATCCTGCTCGGTTGTACCAGCTTTGAATTCAACACAAATTGCAGCCACTGCCTCATATTCCCTTGGACACAGGACTTCCGACAAGACTTGGGGTCCAGGATTTGTATCAACCACAATTCAACACTGAAAGCTTTTTTTTCACCACTGCCGGTGAATAGAATTCCAGCACGTAATTTGTCGTTTTGTTGCGCCACCAGTCACAAGTCCTCGAGCTAAATATTTTTTCTAATTTGTCGCTGCAATCAACACGTACACTGGCCGGTAGACGTACAGAAAGTGTTAGTCACCAACTTGAGCTTAGATTTTTGCTTCGGCTTGTGTGGTGGAGATGCTGCTTGGTCGTACAGGCCTTGAAATTCCACAAGTTACAGTCACTACCTGATTTTCCCTCAGACATATGATTTCCAACAAGACTTGGGGTCCAGGATTTGTATCAACCGAAATTCATCAGAGAAACTTTTAGTTTTACCATCGACAGAATTCCAGCACGGAATTTCCACATAAATAATCATTTTGTTGTGCCACAGTCACAAGTCCTTGAGCTAAATCTTTTGTTCTATGTACCAGCTGAACAGCGAAAAGGGAAACATTTTAGAAAATACTGCTTAACATAAGCTGCTTCAATTTCTTCATAACTGAAGCAGTTACCAAATCAATACTATCAAACAAATCACAGGAGATACCATCAAATAAACAAAGAAATACTATCAAACAAACACAGGATATACTATCAAATTAAAATTATACTGCAGTGTTAACTGTTAACTCAAGTCCATTCAGTGCATAAGTGGTCGACAGAGGAGAATTGCCGGAAAATGAGGTAGTGGATGTAACTTGTGGAATTTCAAAGTCTGTACGACCAAGCAGAATCTTCACCACACAAGCTGAAGCAAAAAATCAAAGCTCAAATGGATTATTGCTTTCTAGGAATAATTCCTGTGTCATTTTTCCACAGGTATGAGGAAAGAAAAGAGAGGAAGAGATGGCGACAATGAAGAAGGAAAACAGGCAGTAGCTGCCAAAGGGATGTACTAACGTCCAAACAAGCTTTGGAACTTCCAGTATAGAAGAGATGACGACATTGAAGAATAGTCATCCAACAGCTATTTAAATATCAACTGGTGTGAGTTCACTGAGGACCTCAACACTATTTAAATATCACTAGAGTTGCAGCGTATACTGAATCATATCCCCCAGCCAAACACAAAATGCAAACACATGACAAAAAAATGCCATCTTCCTCAACACCATTGTTGTACCTCTGCCTACTGCGGGTGTCATGCCTTCTTCTCTTGCAAGAAGCACAAGCGGCGCCCCATGGAGGGATCTCACTTAGGTCTCAACACATGGCCCTCCTCCACTGGAAGGCTACAATTGCAAGCCCACCCCCGCTGATGAGCTCTTGGCAGGAAAACACCAGACCGTGCAACTGGACAGGCATCATGTGCACGGCCATTCGCCATGGCCGCCACATGCCCTGGGTGGTGACCAACATCTCCCTGCCAGATGCTGGCATCCATGGCCAGCTTGGTGAGCTCAACTTCTCAGCTCTTCCATTCCTCACATATATCGACCTTTATAACAACAGTCTCCATGGTGCACTACCCGTTGGTATCAGCTCCCTGTCAGCACTTTCCGTACTTAACCTTACCTACAACCAGCTCACAGGAAAAATTCCTTATGAGATTGGGGGCCTACAAAGTCTCAGAGTGCTCGAGCTCTCATATAACAGACTCACAGGACATATCCCTGCGTCTCTGTGAAACCTAACAATGTTAATTGATCTTATCATTCACCAAACATCGGTATCAGGTCCCACTCCTGAGGATATTGGAAGGCTTGTCAACCTACAAGCTCTACAACTAAGCAACAACACATTAAGCGGCACGATACCAAAAACCTTTGGAAATCTGACTCAACTAAATGCTTTGGTGCTCTATGGTAATCAACTTTCAGGTCCTATACCCCAAGAACTAGGCAGGCTAGTCCATTTGCAAACTCTTGTGCTTAATTCAAATGAATTTTCAGGTCCAATTCCAATCTCCATAACCAATCTCACTAAGATGAACACACTTTTTCTCTATGAAAATCAAATCACAGGTCCAATACCCCTAGAACTAGGCAACCTCGCTATGCTAAACAAACTTGATCTCTACAAAAATCAAATAACAGGTTCGATACCCCCAGAACTAGGGAACCTCACTGTGCTCAATGAACTTTCTCTCTGTACAAATCAAATCACAGGTTCAATCCCTTTAGAATTGGGCATTTTGCTGAATCTCCAGTATTTAGGCTTGTCCAACAACCAAATATCTGGCTCTATTCCTGCCAGCTTAGGCAATATTACCAAGCTAGTAGCACTAGCCCTCTTTGAAAATCAGATAACCGGTTCCATCCCCCAGGAGATTGGCAATCTGATGAACCTCGAATATTTAGACTTGTTTCAGAACCAAATTTCGAGATCAATACCAAAAACTTTTGGGAAGCTGCAAAGCCTCCAAGATCTGCGACTCTATGATAACAAATTATCAGGTTCTCTTCCTCAAGAATTTGGAGATCTAATAAACCTTGTTGAACTTGCTCTATCTAACAACTCGCTTTCAGGACCTTTACCCGCAAATATATGTTCAGGTGGTAGACTTAAATATCTCTATGTCTTTTCTAATATGTTCAATGGCCCCATTCCAAGTAGTTTAAAGACATGTACGAGTTTGGTTGGACTTTCCCTTGATTCGAACCAACTAATAGGAGATATATCTCAGCATTTTGGTGTGTATCCACATCTCATAAAGATGCGTTTGACATCGAATAGACTCTCTGGGCAGATCTCCCCAAACCTAGGTGCATGTACCCAACTAGCGGTACTACAATTAGCACAAAATATGATCACAGGTTCCATACCTCACATCCTTTCTAAATTGTCCAACCTAGCAGAGCTAAGACTCGATTCTAATCATCTCAGCGGTGAGATTCCACCAGAAATCTACACTCTAACTAATCTATATAACCTGAACTTATCATTGAACCAGTTGTCTGGATCCATACCCCGACAGATAGAAAACCTGGGCAATCTAGGACACTTTGATATATCTGGGAACAGACTGAGTGGATTAATACCTGGGGAACTAGGGGCGTGCATGAAACTACAATCCTTGAAGATCAACAACAATAACTTCAGTGGGAGTTTGCCTGGTGCGATTGGAAGTTTAGCAGGTCTGCAGATCACATTGGATGTGAGCAACAACAACCTCAGTGGTGTGTTACCACAGCAACTTGGGAAGTTGCAGATGCTAGAATTTCTGAATTTATCACATAATCAGTTCAGTGGCAGCATTCCATCCTCCTTTGCAAGCATGGTGAGCCTCTCAACACTCGATGTGTCCTACAACGACTTGGAAGGACAAGTCCACAGCACGGCTACTACAAAATGCGTCATCAAGTTGGTTTCTTTCCAACAAAGATCTTTGTGGTAACCTCTCTGGTCTGCCACCTTGTTATTCAACCCCAGTAGCTGCTCACAAAAAAGGGAAGATACTCGGTTTGCTTTTGACAATCGTTCTTGTGATGGGTTTCATCATTGTTGCTGCAATTGTTGTCATAATAATACTTACTCGTAAGAAGAGAAATCCTCAAAAAAGTGTTACCGCTGAAGCAAGGGACCTATTCTGTGTTTGGAATTTCGATGGAAGATTAGCATTTGAAGATATTGTAAGGGCAACAGAAGACTTTGATGATAAGTACATCATTGGAACAGGGGGGTACGACAAAGTCTACAAGGCACAACTCCAAGACGGGCAGCTGGTTCCTGTGAAGAAGCTTCATCAGACCGAAGAAGAGTTGGATGATGAAAGAAGATATCGTAGTGAAATGGAAATCTTAACGCAGATCCGACAACGAAGCATTGTCAAAATGTATGGATTCTGCCCCCATCCAGTGTATAAATTTCTAGTCTACGACTACATTCAGCAGGGAAGCCTCCAGAATATTGGAAAATCATGAGCTAGCAAAGGAATTAGATTGGAAGAAGAGAATTGCCCTGGCAACTGATCTGGCTCAAGCAATATCTTATTTGCACCACGAATGCAGTCCACCTATAATCCATCGAGATATCACAAGCAACAACATCTTACTTGATACATCCTTCAAGGCCTTTGTCTCGGATTTCGGCACGACAAGGATTCTTAAGCCCGATTCATCAAACTGGAGTGTACTAGCAGGAACGTATGGCTACATAGCTCCTGGTATGTACTAGAATAGCCTTGTTTCTCACATCAGAAGCATTCATCTCTATCCATTTGTTCCAGATTCTAATATTCTCGACACTTTTGTGCAGAACTGTCATACACATCTGTTGCGACAGAGAAATGTGATGTTTATAGCTTTGGGGTGGTTGTGTTAGAGCTAGTGATGGGCAAGCATCCAAGGGATTTATTAGATGGTAGTGTTTCTAGCGGTGAACAATCAATGATGGTGAAAGATATTCTGGACCAACGGCCGGCAACACCAATATCAACTGAAGAGAATAGCTTAGCTCTGCTCATCAAGCTGGCCTTATCTTGTTTGGAATCTTCTCCCCAAGCAAGGCCAACCATGCGGGAGGCATACCAAACACTCATCCAGCCATCTTCCAGTTCAACTACCGTGCCTTTCAGCGCACTTACATTACAACAAGGGATGCATGTTGACATAAGGTCTGAATCCTAGTGAGAAACCAGGGTCTACCGAAGCAGAGGCCGATTCAGATTTCTGATCTTTTACTCAAGTCACTCATACACCACCTATATATACCTCTTGTATGCCATATGATATGACATGCCACACAGGATGAGTTGACGACTCATTGCAAGTTTAATTATTTGTAGATTCTCCTGATGCAGCAAAAGATCACCATTGTGTGCCCGTGGTTTTTCCCGCAAGGGTTTTCCACGTAAAAATGTGTGTTAAGTCCCGTGTTCTTGATATTTCTCTGTTTGCTTGCTGATTTCTAACAAATGCATAAATATAATTTGGTTTGCAGGTTGCTTATATTTGTTGAAGACCATAGTGTAGACATAGTATCCACATGTGACAATTTCTTTCGGCTATTGTCTGTAGGTTACTTAAATGTGTCCTAATATTTGTCTCTTTTTATCTACTATTGCTCCCATAACCTAAATATTGAAAAAAATGGAATCCAGAACTGGTGCAGTACTATGTAGTCCTGCTTTATTTGTTCCATATGAGAATCAAGATAAAATATCTTGGACCAAGCAGGAACAATCCCAATGCATAAACAGGAAGAAATGAATGTAAGCACATTGAAGAGTAGATGCATAAAAAAAGAGAGGTGGCACAATATACTAAATAAAAGACTTGCAGAGGGTTGTAGGGCAGAAGTATGTAGTCCTTTTCCTTATTATTGCTCCCATGAACCTGAAGGTGGAAAAATGGAATCCAAAACTGACACATTATCATGTCATCCCGCTTCATTGTTCTCAGGGTATCAAAGTAAAATACCTTGTACCAAGCAGGAACGATCACAATGATCAAGTGTTCAATGCGTAAATGGAACATATGAATGTGAACACGCAGATATAGGTGCATAAAACAAGAAAAGTACAACAGTACTAGGTAAAAAAGAGCTTACGGAGGATTGTAGGGCACGCATACGTAGTCCATGTCCTTAGGATGGAGCATATGTAGTCCTTGTCCTTAGGATGGAGCAATAGATAATTTACTACTACAATTAATTTCAAGCACTTGTAACGAGACTTTCATGGAACAAAGATATAACCTTCTTTTTCTTGATGCCTAGTACAACTTCACAAAGGATGAGATGAGATGATAGGGAAAGCCGTGACAGACAACATGAGAGCTAGCAACGTCCCATAATTTCATTATCAGAGAAGTAGATGCCAATTCAACTCAGCGACACGGTGCTTCTCGTCGGTTCGTCGTCCTCATCGCCTCGGTTCCCGCGGGGGGAATCAATGCCAAAGCTGCGGAGTGCTGCCGCGCCGGTCAGCATCCATTGATGCCTCACGGGCAGCGCAGTGAAGGCGCGGCGCCACGCGTATGCCCGGCGGCCACGCGGACGCCCCCGCCCGCGGCTATAAAAAGCGTACCCCCCGCCGGGGGACGCTCACACTTCGCCTCTCCTCTGATCTCCTCGTCGGAGTCCGCCTCTGCGCCACCATGTCGATGCACCGCCTGGGCGCTGCTGATTTCCGCGGAGTCCGCGAGCGCTGCTCCGGCGTTTTCTCCTCCGAAATCTCGTTTGGCGAAAAACGGCTCAGTCTCGGCACCTTCGACATCGCAGAGGAGGCGGCCCGTGCGTACGACGCGGCGGCGTGGCGCCTCCGGCGGCCTTGTTGGGATATGAATTTCCCTGACGTGTCGACGGGCCAGCGCGCGCAGGATCTGGCGCATCTCCCGCGGCTTTTCACCGACGAGGATCGTCGTGACAACCGGAGGCGGCAGCGTCGCCTAGTGATCGCGGAGATGGACGTGGAAGCCATGGCGGAGTGGCGCGAATGCTTCCCGCAGGACATTGTCAACGAGCGCCAGTTTTACAAGCAACGGAGGACGGAGAGGGAGGCGAGGAGAAAGGAGCGAGCCGCCTATCGGGAGGACAAGTATGCGCGGAAGCAGGCCGCTCAACTGAACATGGAGCTAGGAGAAGCGTCGTCCTGGGACTCCGAGGACGAGCGGTATGCTGACGCCTACTTGCAGACGTCGGAGGAGGACATTACCAAGTCGGAGACGGAAAACGACGAGTAGTTGA